ACCACCACATCCAGTGTGCAGGGCTGTCAGCGTTACGGAACCGACTTACGGCGCTCAAACCTATTTCATGCTTGGCTGATGGATTAAATGACTGCTTTTGCATGAAGGCCAGCATATTATAACAGTACTGCTGTTGTAGTCACAGACTCCTAATGATGACTATCACCGTCGTGATTTACGGGGGAGAGGCGCCCGGCTTTGACGCCGGATCTAGGACAATAGCGGTAGTTGTCATAACATTGTGCTTCAATTAGAGGTTGCCAGTCTTTTGCAGCAATAAGATTTTGTGTGCATTCAAACCTTAACTTCTATATTTGATATAGTCTTTTTCAAAATGATCACAAAATCATTTTAAACACTTAATTTGACATCGGCAACAATACGGACCAGAGCCGGTTAGATACATTCACAGAACATTCATTTATTCACTGTACAACCTACTATGCAATACGCACTGGCCCATTATATTAATGACTAAATGTATTTTCAATCTCTCTATCTATCTATCTATCTATCTATCTATCCATCCATCCTTTGCCAGTTTCCACAAAAGTTCACTATAAAATGTAGATGTTACTTCACACTTATAAGAATGATTATACTCTATACTTATACAAATATTACATTGTATGGCTTCCACTAATTGTAGTATAGTATAATATACTCCATACTCTGAGTTCTGTATAGCTTCCACTGAGTATAATACAGCATAATATATCACTACTCTGACTTCTGACTATATTATAGTGTATAGCTTCCACTACACATGGCAACAGGGTTTTTTTTGGCCTTCTACTTTGGGGTGGATGAGTGGGAGAAGCTTAGTCACCGAGGACTACGGATGCGATACAGAGGGCTGAATGCCGTCGACCACGACCGCCCATGAGTCATCTGCATTGACTCACTGCAACTCCCCCCCAATGGGAATCCCGCTCCAGGATCCTCCCCCAACCCCCCCACCCCCACACCCAGACTGGGGATCGTGAGGCTGAGGTGGTGATCCAGAGTTATTGTGAAGCTTTCGGCTCCTGAGTGCAACTTTGCCACTGAAAGTGCTGACAGGAAATAAGTTTTCACTGCGCCATGTATGAATTTCCACAGTTAACTAGCCTTTGGCTGTTCCCTGGCTGCTATCCAGGTTTTTTTTCCCCGAAATGTATGTTTTCTCGGGAGTCATTTTATACAGCTGATAGACCCCTGAAAACTCCCCATATAATTTTCTATAATTTGCATGGGAGTCATTTTTTCCCTCTATATGCCTTTTACTTTTTATTGGTCATGCGTCATTAATTCGTTTCGCTAATCTACACAAAGTGTAGTTACTGATAGAGTAAATGAATTCTACCATGAATGAATTCTGAATTTAAATCTTATAGGTGGGTGCAGTTTAGCAGGCAGACCAGGGAAACCAGGACATGCTGTATCCAACATGTCAGCGTATTTTTGGACCATGGCACGACCTTTAGTTTCAATGCCGTTGGTGGCCTAAATACCTTCATTTAGTCTGAGGTGGAAAGAATCTTTCATATCACTTATAGGATGGCATATTTGCCCTTGGTTCTTCTTGAGATAAAAGGCCATAAAAAACGCTGTATAACTCATCTTTTCCCTTTATATGGTATATTTAAATACATTTTCTTTTCTGTACAATTTGTTCTGTGGGTCCACCTGTAAAACAACAGCAGAGGTTCAAGATAGAGGTGCTCTTTCTTTGTGGTACCGGACCCAGGCCCGATGAGGAGTATGGAGTTCATCTGCACCACTTTCCGGTCGGCTTTTGGGTTCCTCAAATAGAAAAGGTCGACAGCCGTTTTAAAATGTTAAAAAGAGGCCCCTTTCTTCAACTGCTGACACTGCTCGTTTTAAAGGTGATGGTCAAACTAGAACTGGTACACCTGTGGGCTATTCACTGTCCTCTTTATAAACTTTGCAAGAATCATTTTGTTCTCATCCATACTCCCTAAATACAGTGGTAATGGAAACCACCATCAGTGCTGAGAGTTAGCTTGTCAACCTTGTATTTATTATGACAGGGCAAAAGGGACTCATTCCATGCAGCTGGTCATCAGGTGCCCCTATACCTACCCCCTATGAATACTTCCTCTTCATCTGTTTCGTTTACATCACACAGTTCAGCTACAAGTCCAGCACAATTCATCCACAGTAGCCTCAGAATGGAATGCAGAAGCAGAGACTGCCATTGATAGATAGTGGTATTCAGTATATGGAGCATTCATGGAAATAGCCATTGCACAAATGCATGTTGATTAGATAGATAGATCGATAGATAGATAGATAGATAGATAGATAGATAGATAGATAGATGGATGGATGAATAGACAGACAGATAGATAGATAGATAGATAGATAGATAGATAGATACTGTAGATGAACATGATTGTGAAACAAAAGAGGTAGGGGAACAGGTATGTACAATATACATGACTTTGAAGGGTGCAAGAATGTATCTTTGACACCAAACAGTTCAGTGAACACAGTCGTCATAAAATGGACTTAGTATCTGCTAGTAATGGACCATCAGACACTTTTGATAGCTGCTTTACAGTTACCCAGACAAAATGGTCCATCAAACAACTCCATGGACAGGTTAATTAGAATGTGAGAGCTCTGCTTTGACACTCCTCCACTCGTTTTTCAATTAACCATTTGATGCACTTTCTTCGCCTCTGAAATGCAATTAGATTTACGAAGGCATTAATCTGCCTTTGAAGTGTCAATGAGTTACAGAGGCCAAACAACACAGGACTCCACTGTGTTCATGGACAGAGATACTTGATTGGCTATTTGTGCAAGAAGAAGTTCATAGGGGATTTTTCATTTTCTCATGTCCCAACTTACTGTCCTATGAGATTCGCATACAGAAGTTTGGGTTCACAGCTCAGGGTCATCCAGCCCCCCTGAAGCTGTTTTTGGGGTTTTTTAAGGTTTTGCTCTTGAGTCCAGCAGATCACACTGCTGACCATAAGTTTAGGGGTGGGGGGGTCACCGGTTCAAATCCCACAACCAGCAGGTTGATGCCAGCACAGGGCCCCAGTGCAAGGCCTTTTAACCCCCAACTGCTCTGGGTGGAGGAGGGCTGCACGCTGGCTGACTCTGCGATGTGACCACTGAGCATGTTCTCACCTACATACGGTCACAGAAAAAAATAGTTACAATTTTTAGTTTAGTTTAATTTATGGGTGTGCATCTGAATAATACTTATATTTTTATATATTTTGGAAAGTCATCCTCCGATTTATGAGAAACTGTCGGATAAGTTGACGGTCATCTCTGGCATTATAAAGCTGCTTAAGCCCTTTACCTGGCTGGTTTCGGGTCATTCCCAGTGTCTCCAACTTCAGCATATTCTTGTGTCCTGCTGTTTTAGAAATTTTGAACCTGGAAGCAACCTGCTGCTCAGTGTAGCCTCCTGCCAGCAGAACCACAAAATGCAGATTTGTTTAAAAATATAGAGCGGTCTCTTAATTTTCTCCACGGCTGTATGTGTCCGTGTGTTTCATGGTGGGCTTGATGGGAGAGGTGAAAAGGGGAATCACTATTTATTAGAAACCGGTAACCTTCCGATCAGAGACAGAATACAAATCTGCAAAGCCGCACCCCCCCCCCCCTTGTTTTCATATTAATTACAGTATGTGACTTCACTTCAGGAGCCGGGCTTGAGGGGAAGCAAACCCGGCAGGTGACAGTAAACCCTGTATATGTAGAGATTATCTGTCCACTGCTGGACAAAAGCCCATGTCCTTCCGGATCCTGCTCCCTTTACCTTTTCACCCAGAGGGGCCAGCTCCGCAGGGCCTGTCTTTCTCAATATGTTTCATCTCCCAAGTGCTTCGAGAGGAAATTAATTGGTCAAAAGACATCAGTCAACAGAGCTGCCGCGTCACATCTACTCAGTCTCAGTCCTTTACAAGCATGTGGGTCTGTGTCGGGGCCCAGGGGCGTTGGATTCACATAAATCTTGTACTTGACACCATGTCCTTGCAGGGTGTGAGTTGTCCGTCAGAGTGCATTTGCAGCACATAGATACCAGAAGAGAATTGCAAGCTATTACTGAAGTCAAAAGGCCTTTACCTTCAGTTTTAATGCAGTATTACTTCACAAAGGCACCTTATTCCATTAATTTCAAAACTCTTTTGGTAACACTTTCTGTGAATCCCATGACTATACGAATCTAAGAACACTTTCATAACACATTACGATGCATTTTAAACATGGCTATAAATGTTTATAAAAAGGCACAATACTTTAAAAAGGCAAAATGTTTATTATGCATGAATAAAGCTCTCATCCATAATGCACCATAGATACCTCCATAATGCAGTACAAAGCATCCTTAATGCTTATACTGACCGTTATAATGCATTATAAAGGTATATACAGTATAGTGCATTATGGATGAGAGCTTCATTGGAGATTATCAAGTAATGTGATCAATACTATAATGCCTTATGACTGTCAATAGAAGATGCTCTAAAGCTTTATTAATACTTATACTGACAATTATAGTGCATTATGAAGGTATCTTTAATGAACTATAGATGACAGCTTCAAGTAATGTGTTACCACTAATCTCTTTATCAAGTTGTTATGTTTAATTTAACTGCTTGATGAACCATTATAGTCAATGTTATATATTTTTAAATGTTTTTGAAAAGCGAAAGAAAGTTCTCCTGGAATCATATGCGGTCATATTGAGGTGTGCTTGCATTTCTATAAATAGCTGCATAGGCTTTTCTCAGTTGGATTCTGAGTAAAAATTAAACTTCCTGATGAAAATACCTGTAAACGTGTAAAACGTAAAATGCGGTGATGCCTTTGACGGAATGTTTCATTCATGGTTTTTTTAAGGAAATACTACCATAAAGCTCCAGTTGACAGTGAAGTGTGGCTTTCTCAGGACAGTAGTGTGAGGCACAGATGGCGTGTCAGACGGTCTCACACTGCATTCTCAATCCGGTGTGTCTCCCTCTCCGTGTCAGGCGGCATCTGCATGGCTCAGTCCCTCAAAATCCCAGCCGGCTACAAGCAGGCCGACTTCGACAAGATAATACGGCAGCTGCTGGAGACACGGCAGTCCCGGGTCGTCGTCGTCTTCGCCAGTGACCTGGACATTCAGTACGTGACCCCCGCATTGGTACCATAAAGAACACTGTGCAGGGCCAGATATCAAAAACTCAAAGCCCCTGCAGTGAGGTGGTTTTTGGAGTCACTGTCCGCTAGTGATTCACTGTGTGACTTGCCGCATATTCACTGTGACATGTCTCGCACTCGTATAGTGACATGCCTCATGCTCACTGTGACGTCTTACTTTCACTTTGTGACATGCCTCTGTTCACTGACATTTGTCATACTGTCACTTTATGACATGCCTCATATTCTCTATGACATTTGTCATACTGTCACTTTGTGACATACCTTATGTTCACTGTGACATGTTTCGCTTTCACTTTGTGACATGCCTCACATTCAATTTGAAATCTGTCACACTTTCAGTTTGTGACATGCTACATATTCTGTGACATTTGTCATACTTCACTTTGGGATATACCTTATATTCACTGTAATTTGTCTCATTTTCACTTTGTGACATGCCTCATATTCACTTGGAAATTTCTCATACTTTCACTTTGACATTCCTTTAATTCACCGTGAAATGCCCAATCCTGTGTCTCACTTTCACTTTTCATAGTCTCACTTTCACTTTACAATATGCCTCACTTTCACTTTGTGACATGCCTCCCATTACTTTAATATAGCATATGTTTGATAGTCTGCAGTATTTGCAATATTTTTACTTAATTATTAAACTATACTTAAATATTTGTTTCGGTATATTTTGAAATTATGTATTCATTACAATAATTTAAAATGCCATAGTTATATGTAACTTTCAATCAGCTTGATTATTTTAAGGTTTTATATAACTATCATCTTAAAAGGTTCTTTTTTTCTTGAAATCTGCTGTGATTGTTCCTCAGAGAGATTCTCAATGCAACCAAGAGAGCAAATCTGGTTGGACACTTCCTCTGGATTGGATCCGACAGCTGGGGAGCAAAGCAGAGTCCCATTTCCCAACTGGAGGATGTTGCTGTGGGAGCCATCACCATTCAGCCCAAAAGATCCACCATCGAAGGTACAGCTGGTCTGTGCAGCTGTGCAGAAGAAGATAGGGTCTGTCTTCATGATGTTGCTGGTAAAGCTGTACTCTGAAGGGCACAGCTTGTCTTCAAGATATTCTCATGTGGCAGAGATAGGAGCCTGCATGTTTGAAAGCACCATTTGACTGGCTTATACCTCAGTAGTCACTGTTTAAGATCACCACCCCCTTGTTAATGAATAGCTTCCCATAGACTTCTCATAGACTTCTAAACTATAAATCAATATATTATTATTATTATTATTATTATTATTATGGCAACACTTTGCTTGATGGGGCACAAATAGTAGTAACTCATTTACTACTGAAATAAAATTAATGAACAAATATTGTTGCTACTTGAAATAAAAATGCATCATAATTCATTAATGATGAACAAACATTAATTAGGTATTTCACTTGTGTTATTCATTACTTGTTCCTTCAGTAGTTCACAAAGGTTTACAGAATTAACAGATATAGTAACAAATATAGTCATTGCTTGAGATAAAAGATTCATTAATGAGTAACAAATATAAGATCAGCATGTAACTAAGACTTAGTTTGTGGTTAATTTATATATAAGTAAGTGTAATACAACAATATTTGTGCCCTCTAGTAAAGTGTTACCATTATTATTACTAAGCTGAAGCTTTATTCTTTTGACTTCAATAGTACCTGTGGAAGTACTGAAGAAGGAGACATCTGATGCTTGTTGTGAAAAGCCAGGGGTCTGGAGTAAACGACAGATCAGATTGCTGCATTTTGGGACTCTTTACAGCTCCAGTAGAGCACTTAACTCGGCCCGAGTCGATTGTCTGACCCAAATTTCTGTTGTTCTTTTTTTTTTTAAAGGAACTCACCTATATATCAAGAACCCAGGGGACAAGGGCCAAGTGGAACATGTTGTTAATGAAGATAATAATACGTGTCACCTGACTCTTTCCCTAGTGCAACGAAGTGTGGCCACAGCGCCTGGCACCCCCCAACAGATACACGGTTATAAGCAGTTTGTTTGTTGTTAGCCAATATGCGTTAGCCTATAGCTTGTAGCATATATTGTTAGTCTATATATATATATATATATATAGCCAGGAGTAGGAAGTCAAAATATAGGGGCTCAAGGAAGGAGCAGGCAAGAGCAGTAAAGGGTGATAGTTAGTAGGGAAGGAAAGAGTAGAGTGGTTTCACTGAAGGAGATTAAGCACACATGTTAGGCAGATTCAGAGAAGGACATGTTAGCTAATTTTGGGAAAAGATGCTGTTTGTGGGACTTTATTCATCTCCCATGGGGAACTGGCCATTTCACCTTTCCCATCTTACTATCGGTCTGCTGGCCCCAGGATTTGAACCAGTAACGTTTTGACCATGGAGAGCAAGTCCTAATGCGCTGAGCCACACACTCCACTCCTTCTTTGGTGATATGTTATCTTCATTAATAACATGTTCCACTTAAACCTTCCCCCCCTAGGTTCTTGATATATAGGTGTGGTCTACAGAATGAATATAATGATGCGACATTGGATTTCAGGGGTTGAAAGTGCCATTAAAAATACACCAATTGAAAGAAATCCTGGGAACAAGGGATGGGTGCAACAAATCAGTATAAAGGATTAGGAGCATCGGGTTATGCTGCATGAGCCGTACAGCAGCCCTGCTTGCTCCTCTCCCCACACCAGGCCCTCTCAGAAATGTACCGCCACTGATAGTAAGTAGTACCTCCTGTTGGAAGGTTTACAGGATGCGGCGAGTGTACATTTTTGCATTCTTTGCGTATTGCAATAAGTATACTGCCAACTTCGGAATGGAAGTAGAATGAATGCAGAGGAGCCTGTGTAAGACTGCGGCGCTACGAACATACAGCGTCACGCCACCAGTGGTGATTGTAGCAGCATCAGAGCTGATTACACTTAAGGAGCTGGCAGTTGCACTGATGTGATTGTACAGCAGCTGCGGGGAGCCATCAGACAGAGCTTTATGCGGTCATGGAATATTCTAGAAAGTTGTAGGGGGACGGAAAGAGACACTAGTGTTGTAATCCTCAGCAAAGCACTTACTCTTAACAGTCTCAAGATCCAAAAGGTTAAAATATGCATGCTTTCTCATTTAAATATGAGAACGACACGTATATTTGTCAGGTAATGGATTTCACTGAATCACTCTTGTCTGCCCTGTCAAACATTCCTGAAAAATAAAATACGACCAGAAGAATTCATTTAGCTCCAGTAGATTAAGAACTAAAAAAATGGCAGTGACTCCTCCTCACTAAGCAGCCCCCCTGCCTTGATCTATCGGGGGACTGACTGTAATTTGATAATAAAAGGGTATAAGATGATTTCCTTTCAGTGCATGACAGACAAGCTGAGTGGTTTGGATCAAAATGTATTGGTAAAAGTGTAAACGACTGTTGATAAGTGAGTGGAAATGAAAAAGGTAACAGATTAAAAAGAAAAGTTACAGATATAAACCATAAGCTTGTCACATATGTAAGATCCCCGCGAATGTGAAAATAAGCAAAAATAACACTTGAACACATCTAACCTCAACCCATAACAGTCTGCTAGCTTTTTATTACCAATTTCTAAACAAACAGTACTGTACGGTACTTTGCATGTCAAATTGTTTTTCCATTTATCTTGACCTTATATAAAATATACAACCCATCTAATGCCCCAATATACAGGCACATCCCTCTTCAGGGCAGCTGTAGGCACGCGCATGCGCAAATTCATTTTACACAACCAGCAGCTGTTACCAGCAGCTAACACACGTGGACAAAGGGGTATTTTAAAATATTTTTCTGTTTTTATTGACACGCCACGGACAAATAAACCCGTTGCAAGAGGACTCAGAAAACAATAAACAAAACCCAGCTTCCGAACGCAACCCTAAGCTAACTTACCTAAGTGCAGAGAAGATAAAAACACAACGACAAATTCTACACCTTACTCCCAATCCAAACAACAGCATACAACATAAACTCGCAAAAGAAAAATGGCAGTCACTCCCTATGCACCTGTCACACACACAGTGACAGAGCATACACAACAGAGATCAAAACGTCCGAGGGCCGCGCGAAGACGTTAAACAAAAACCGGGATAGAGTTCGAAACCAAATAACAAGTAAACCCAAGCGAAAGCACAGACAAGGACAAAGCGAAAATCAGATATTCAATAAATCAAACAAATCATACACAGTAATATCCATCAAAGAAAAGTTAGAGCAGAGCTCCCGATACATCTTCTCACTTCGGAAGACGAAAGTGACGAATGCCGCATACAGAGAGTTGTGGGCGGGGTCTGCACGTGGAGGCGGAGCGAATGTCGAATGGAGGGCGAGCTAGAGGACGAGGCTGTGGGCGGAGCTGAACTTACAGCGGCACGGAACACTGCAAAATCCATGGCTTCGAAAAGGAAGCGTAGTGTCACGTCCCTCCAAAAGAAGCTCGATATCATTACAGAGATACGAAAAGGAAAATCACACAGAGTTGTTTCAGACCATTTTGGAGTGGCTAAGTCTACGGTAGGCGATATTTGGAAGAGTAAAGAAAAAAATCATCCAGCTCACTTGCTGCTGGTTAAAAACTGGATGATCACTGCAAGAATAAAACGGGATGATTCGCTAGCTCAGACTGAAATAGCATCCTATATATAAGCCTTACACCTCATAAATATCATGTAGTTTGTATGTGTAAGTTGTACTGTACTGTCCATGTATTTCTAAGTTACGGGCATCTCTTACGGGCACCCCTCGGTCCCATTCTGCCCGAATAAGGGAGGTTTGACTGTATTACTGTATACAGTGGAAGCAGTACTGAGTATGTTTTGGCCCATCCTGCTGAAAAAGACAGCATAGACCAGCATTATTTCTTTTGCTGGTTAGTGCTGGTTTGGTGCTGGTGTAGCTGGTGGACCAGCATAGCTATGCTGGTCTACCTGCACATGAAACTGGTCCACCAGCAATATTTCATTAATGATGCTGGCCCACTAGCACCCAAACACAACATATGCTGGTATAACTGGTATGCTTTATGCTGGCTATGCTGGTCTATACAGTTTTTTTGTAGTTGCAAAAACAGAGGCTGGTTGCCAGACAAAGATACATGCCGTCCCCACGACAAGACTTTTAATATTAAAGATATAGTATATGCACTTACACTAATATCTATATATTATATGATTTTATGTGATCCAGATCGTTTTAGTATTGGTTTTGGCTACACATTGTCTGCCAGATTCTATAATGTTTAAACCAGCTCCAAAATATTCCCGTTTAATTGTTCACGGCAAACCTGAAAATGACCGAATGTGCAGTCCACAGATGTGAAGGGTTACTATGTGTACATACACACAAGCACACAGACATACTCACACACTCACACACAAATTTGTATTCACCTGTTTGTGTGGACCCTCCATTTCTTTCTATGGAAAAAAACCATAATCCCAAAGATGACAACCTTAATCCCTACCCAGCCCTAAGATTTTGGCATTTGTAGTTTAAGTGGTCCCTACAATGTCAAAATATCAGGTTTTTGTCACATTGTGGGGACATTTGTTCCCTGTAATATAATATGTACATAACCCATACACACACACACACACACCATAGCACAGTGACCTGTGGTGTGTTACTGTACCAGCAAAACCCCAGAGAACCCTGTAAGTAAAGCCAAAAGTCACTTGGCCTTATATTTATCCATCAAAAGAGGTCACCAAGGCGAGGAATGTTCCAAAAAATGTTAAGCAAACTGAGAAAGATTCCCAGATAAGTCTTTTATCCTCCAAGCAGAGCTTAAGGAGGCCTTCCACAAAAAGTGGGAACCGCGATGTTTCTGCTGATTAGGGTATCAACGCAAAAAATGGCAGTGGAGAGGCTTTTATTCCGCCGCCTGGGTTGACAAGGAGATAGGGAGCAGTGGGGAGAGTGCAGAAACAGACAAGGAGGAGGTGAGGAGCCCACAGCGTCTGACTGTCTGTGGACCTCGACGATGCTTAGTGTCTGGTGCTCTTTCAGCTCCTCATTTTCAAAAGGCGGGGAGGCCGTGTGGTTCAGGGGGTTAGGGTGTCGTGCTTGTGACTGGGAGGTTGCCGGTTTAAATCCTGGAATCGACAGAGCGAGTTCACTGTTGCCCCAAACTCCCCCCCAAAGCAATGACGAACAACTGTGCCCCTTATGTGAGCCATTGCCTCCTTGTGCAGACAATGGGCACTGATTATGAAATATAGTCACATTAATTCATTGCCTCAGATGGGTGAAAAGTATCGATCAGCAGCTTGTATGATCTGCCTTACTGCAGGATCCTCTGTAGGCTGATGCTCTGAGGTTAAATAATTGAGTTCACTCAGCTTGGGGTTTCAGTTAAACAGCTTATTCCAGCCTGCGCCGTCTTTAATGCATAAAGAACTAACACAACAGACTCCACCATCATGTGAAAGCTAAAGTATTCCTAAATGTTAACTATAAAAATCTAACAGTATTATTGCACTTAAAGTGCAATTCCTTCCTATGAACGTCATCTAATTTGTTTGGGATATACTGTATACAGATCAACCAGATCATTTCTTAAGGGGATTATTAACAAAATATAAATAAACTCTAGGAAACCCAAGATTCCAACAACAAACATTTTTTTATGAAAAGATATTTGAGAAAAACTTTAGAAGGTCTTGAAGGTTCATGAGTCCGTTAGACAAACAATAATAAGTAGACTACACTGACTGATTTTTCAGAAAATGAGGTGGCAGTTTTGTTATATGCCATGAAAGTTGTGGGACTGATGTAAATGTACAGGGAACAAGATAGAAAGATGAGTTATTTAGTGAAACATAATAAGCCCATCTATCCATCCATCCATCCATTTTTTGTAATTGCTTGCCCTAGTCAGGAGTCTATGGGCACAAGACAGGGAGCAACCTACTGTAGGATGGGGCACCAACCCATTGCAAGGCAGTGAAATAAGCCGTGGACTATTATTCAGGGAGATGTGGAGCATAGTGATGTGAGGCCCCATTTTATCAGGGGAACTCTGGTTCTAGATAGAATACAGAGTTGTTTTTGTTTTTTTTTTTTAACTTTAAAAGCCTCACAACACTGCTCAGACATCAGATTGATGTTTAATCCCAGTGGCTGTGGTCTTATCATCTCAGGATTTATGCGTTTATTTGCTGATGTACTTTCTCTAGTCAGAGGTGTTACTTGTTTCTATGAGTAGTTGTTAAAAGATTATTCAGAAATATTTCCCCATAATACTGTCATATACTTTATAGTGGAGTTCGTCTTTGCAGACAATGCATGTCTTTTGTGTAATCGTACCACTTCTTTTGGGTTTAAGTTTCATATATTGGTGCATCAGGATGTTGGTGTATTATCCTCCACTTATTGCCAACACCCTAAACACTTACAATTGTCGGTACAAACCTTCTTCCCTGCCCAAGAGATGTTTGCAAATGCGTCATGCATTTCGTTGCTTTAGGAGGAGTATTTTCCATTTGCCTGCGTTATGGTATTCAATTATTAATGTGGGGTTCTCTGTAATGCATCTGCTCAAGGACAATTTCCATCATGTTTTCGTGTCTTCATTTCTTATTGAACAACTTAGTACTTAAATCATGGCTCAGTTTCGACTAATAGGGATGTTTATTAATAAACCGTAGTGAAGTCGTTTGTTGATGTGTCTTTTCCACAACTGTTTGCTCATGCCATGCAACACTGTCAACAAATCTGTAATTTATACTTTTGTGACTGAGTATATTCACTAGTCAAGAGCTACTGTATAGAAGGAAACTGCAATTGCACCAACTTATTATAAAGTATCCTGGGGCCATAAAGTCTCTTAATGCATTAATTCCTCTTATGACTGATACTCAAAAGGCTTTCGATGCTGGAATCTTTCTGTTTGATCTCATCTGTGTAAATCACCACAGTCAGTTTGTATCAGCATCCCAAGAGTAAAAATAATAATTTCTAGATTTCAGTCTTGGCAATATGAGTTAAATAAACATGTTAATTGTTCAAGCAAAGTCAGGCAACAGAGTAGCCCTCACTCTTACAGAACATCTGTCTTCAGCGACCATACCTTAGGACCATTATACACTTATAGATAAACTATGAAAGATCTGGCCAGTCTAGAGGCCATGATTCAGTGCCTGGTTGAGTAGTGTTCTGAGTGCTAGTCAAAAATCTGCAATAGCACAGAATGTTAAACTGAGTAGTGTTCTGGATAAAGATAGGGGCTTATTACCGGATTGCATTACACTCAAAGCCCAAGAGAACATCTTCAACTTTATATTCCATGTTTAATTTATTTTAATTAGTCACAATTCTACTTTGAAATTTCTCCCAGAATGTTAGTCCACGGTGATTGTATAAGTGGAGAATAATTAAAGTACTTTAACTGTTATGTTCTCGCTGACCTTTGATTCATTCAAATTATGTTAAATTTTCAACTTTGCACATGCCCTTAATTTCAGCAGGGCACAGCCGTGGCCCGTAGGCAGCCCTTTGTCTCACCCATTCACTGGAAATCGAATTGAGTAATTTACAGTTAATGAAAGTCACGGGTACAAAATATCAAATGGTGGTCAGTGCAGGCAGTGGGTCCATTACACAGTCACGGGATACCACTTTCACCATTTTCTAATTCAATTACAACACCGCTTGAGATTGTTTTTTGGTCCACAGTCACTACAGTAAAACGCTAACCCCCCCCAAGGTGAATACCATGTAAGTTTTTAAAGTATATGTATGTATATACAGCACTGTGGAAGGTATTTGGCTATCAAAGAAAATTATTAAACCTATTTACCTGGGTAGTAAGTGTATATTTGGTTAGAAAAAAAATTAACAATGTAACAAAAGAATATAGACAATATATTAGTGTGTGTGTGTGTGTATGTGTGTTTGTGTGAGCGGGTTTACCTATCCTTATGGGGACATAATGTCCCCATAATGTGTTACTGTAAATATCTGTTTTTTGTTTCCTGGTCCCCATAAGGGAAAACTCTATTTTATAAAAATCGGTGACTGCTATGAAAAAACTAAAAATGTAAAAACTCTTGTACAGTATTTTGTTAGGTTACTTATGGTTATGGTTAGGGCAGGGTAGGGGTTAAGGTTGTCATAGTTAGCGTTAGCATTTTTCCCATTGAAATGAATGAGCGGTCCCCATAAGGATATGTTTACCCTACATGCGTGTGTGTGTGTGTGTATTGATCTCCAGTGAATTCTCATTGGCTGCATTTTTCCTTCACTCTCTGGTCAAACTCCTCCACAACTGTGGGTAGGTCAGATGGCCAGGTCATGCGATGTGACACTATCATTCTCCCTTGTAGGCAGCTTTATATAATACATTTACATATATACAGATACACGTATATATTCACATAGTTCTTATATATAGTTGATTTATATATAAATATGTACAGTATGTATATGTGTATTTTGCTACTGTTAGTGAGGAATCTCTCCTTATAAACCCATCCATTCCTGCAATTGCCAGCAAAAAGCTTGTTTGGCAGTTTTCATCCATATTTTCCCATTTCAAAGTAGCAGCTACCTTTCAAGACTTATTGGCCAGTATGTCTAATTGCTGTGTTCGCTAACGTGGCCCCGACTGGCCTTTGTGCTGGATTTTCTGCCCACTGCTGCCTCAGGTAAAAGGCGGGGAGCAGAGTGGCCCTCGATCTGCTGCATTAATTGCAGGATATTGGCCTTGCAGGGTCTCCAGTGTTGTGGGGAAATTGCCTGTCCCCGCTGTGCTTTTAGAGCCTCGTATTGTGTCGATCCATCCAGATGTGCTCGCCGTGTGCCCTCCCCTGAAATGGCACCCAGGACGGTACATGTGAGTCTAGGAAAAGCAAGGTCGATTTCAACATCTATATTGTCTCACTCGTGCAAGAAATAATCCTTCAGCCCTCCCTACAGGTGAATAGTTAATTCCTTTGTCCTGGATAACAATTACCAAGGCAAGGGGAGAAAAAACCCCGAAAAAGTACTGTTTGCAAGCAATGATGTTTTGGTGGCAGTCTGTGGTTCAGTGTGTTATGACACCATGGCTGTGATTGAAAGGTCGCCGGTTCAAATCCTGATTTCACCATTCAACCCCCAATTGCTCTGGGGACTGGCTGCCCCTGCTTTCTCACTGTATCTTGCTTTGGATAGACGCATCTCCTATAAATATAATGCAAGGCTTGTTTTGCTGCTGTATCCCACAAGGGGACTTGCATGACTTGCTGAAAATCAGAAAGTTTGGCATTGGCTTGTTCGTTTGTCAGTATGTTTGAAGTACCACTTGATGAAGAGATTCAAAGGAGCAATTGATAAATTAGTGCAATGCAACCAGTTGAAACCCGGTTACATTTAAGAGGATGTTTTATTGGATTGATGAAATAGAGTATACAGGTAGAGTGTAAAGCCGCATGCCAAACAACAACGATGTATTAGACAGACTGTTTGTTATCCTCCAGTTACCCTAAGGGACATAATTATAACTACAAGTTAAGCCTGTTATATTCACAGGAGAACTTCACTCAGTTTAATAAAGCAAGACTGCATTTGGAGACGTTGATGCCCCTTGGACCAGCTTTCCTGCTGCAATTATTTGAATACTTGGTCCACACAGCTGGAGAAATGTTGGAAAAATGGTTTACCTTCATTAGACAACAAAATGAAGTTGTCTGTCAACTAAACCAGTGTTCCCAGCCTGGTCATTGGGGACCCCCAGACAGTCCAAATTTTTGTTGCTGGGAGCTGGGAGGATGCAAAAATGTGAACTGTCTGGGGGTCCCCAAGGACCGGGTGTGGAAACACTGAACTAAAAAAAATTAAGCTTTAAGATACTTAGAGCTGTATATCTTACTCCATAACTGTGTATATGGTTTCACAGGATTTGACACCTACTTCACCTCCCGCACCCTGGAAAACAACCGCAGGAATGTGTGGTTTGCTGAGTTCTGGGAGGAGAACTTCAACTGTAAGCTGATGAGCTCTTCCAAGAAAGAGGACACCAGTCGCAAATGCACAGGTATGGAGGATGGAGCAACTCTGTTTACAGAAGAGGAGGAGTTTGTGCAGTGGAGACAGCTTTGTAGAAGTCATGAGCCTCAGTGTATTGAGTCAGTTTCTCTTACTCATCCATCCACCAGCGATATATCCACCCTTCCAACTGCTTATCCTGTACGGGGTCACAGAGGGCTTGGAGTGTAAGGTGCACAGGGAGCCAAGCACGGGACCCCCTTGATGGGATACATGTCTGTCTCAGGGCAGAGTTTATTATGATATAATGTTATTGTAGTACTTATTTTTTTGCACCTATATGACACTTTTGTCAAAAGCAACTTACACTTGAAGAAAGGGTTACAATTTATGTGGAAAGTGCAAAATTACTTACAGACGTATGTTGCCTTTTTGTCTTAGTGCTTCCAGAAAATCTACGTATCTCAGATATTTTGGGATGATGCGGGTTGGCTGATCGGAAGGTTGCTAGCTTAAATCCTAGAGCTGCCAGAGTGATGTCGTGTTGGGCCCCTGAGCAAGACTCAGTCGATCCAGGGACTGCGTAAATCCAGATTTACTTAAGTTGGATTTACGTAAGTCGGGAGCTGCCTGTACTGCCCATTTTATGTGAAACCTTCTGGGAATGCTCCCCGTTTGTTGGGATCAGAAAGTGTAGCGACGCATCACTTAGCCGCAGATCGCTGAGCCGCACGTACCGGCGCCGCATGTGGACGGGCTAATTGCCTCTCGCTGCTCCGTAGCCCCCGGTCACACACATCAGAGGGAGCCGCACACGGCGGGGAGGGGTCCCCACACTGCTGCCCTCATGATAATTTAATTCCCCTGGTGACGGAGACCCGTGCCGATTGATGCCCGCGTTTCTTAAGTAAACGAATAGAGGAAATTAATCGCCTAAGTGCGAGGACTTAGGGTAATGTTTGCGGATGCTGTTACCCCCCTTCCTCTTAATACACTTTTTCCATTTAGACCATTATCCGCTCGGCTCATTTGCAGCGCTTTCCTCTTAATGAGATGAAATGACAGCATCGATAGGATTTCATCTCTCTCCACGTTCCTCTCTGCCTCCACAGTGCTGTTCTAGTCCTGCAGACGAGACGTAATGGAGGAAGTTAACAGCCAGCCCAGGCCGCTGCCGGAGTCGTGGGCAAAGCTTCTGGAAATATTTTCAGACGCCCATTCTCTGAACTCTGAAATGAGGTTATAGTGCCATTCAGTCACAGCTGTATGGGGTCCGTATCGCCCTCTTTGTCTCAATACGCTTTGTAAATGCTTTAAAATGTGAAGCATCTGATTCATTCTAGCGCTGTCTTTTTGTGATTCTCGTGTCAGAGTTCATTTCAGATGACAGGCCAGGAGTTGGTTCCCACGTCGCGTAAACAGGATTAAAGACCCAATGCATTGTGCAATATTGGTTTAGAGATACTGTGCTATTTGCTCACGCATCTGAAACCATAATTCCAAAAGCTGCTATGCAGAGAATAGTAAACAGCTAGCTGCATACAACATATGATTTCATATGTGGGAAACAGCAGGACTTATTAAAGTATTTCTGCATCCAAATGCTCAGTGATCTAATTACCGACACTGATATATAGCAGTATATGGTAAAGTATATAATACAAATAGTATGCATTATATGTAATATATACTGTACAAAGCCCAGAACCTTTCAAACACAATTTTTTTAAACAGACATAATGTGAATTGGGCGATCATGCTCCTGGAAGATAAAGGGTAAAACTGGTCGAATCTCTCACTCTCGACCCTATTCAGCATGTGCCACTCTGCCCACGTTCATCTGTTCATCAACATTACACAGCGTGTTTATCTTTGTTTTACAGGCCCATGGATCTACTGACAAGTGACGGAATCTGAGCCAGGGAGCATAATTATTGTGACAGGCCTCTTTCTTGTATGCTGCAGAGCAAGAGCCGTCTCTGCTTTTAATTTAGGAATATTCATGTCGTCGTCTGACCGGGCATCGCTTATTCCAGCTTGTATACTTGCGTTTATCTCCTTCCCGCAAGCGCTTTGCATAATAAGTAGACGTGGTTTATTGGGTGCTCTCACCTTTTTAACAAAAGCACGTCAACAAAAATAGGCCGGTGTTTTCAGGGATGGCACTCGGAAGCTCTTATGATAAGAAAAGTTTTACTGTATGACATCTTCATTACCTCCCTCCTTTCACGGAGCGAATCTCCCGTTTCTGCCTCTCTTTAATTTAGCGGCACTGACTGATCGTTTGTGTCACACGCGACAAACTCACTGATGGATGAACTCCCAGACTTGTGCCGTCTGCCCACGACATGGGCAGGAAATACTCTGCAAGTAACGAGAATTAGGAGACAACTCTGTTTTCCTTTTTTCTCTGGTTAGGGGATCACAGGCACTATTTTTAAGCACAAAAGTTAAATATGTGGGCTGTAGTGTGTAACACGGTTCTGCAGTTAAATTATTTACACCTCCAGCTGTTATTTTAATTTGCCAGAAGTGCTTTATATAGAAAGTAGGCCAGTTGTGCATCTAGTATAGTGCTGCTCTTTAAACCATGGACAGTGTAGCGCATGAAGGCTGGATTGTGACCAAGTACATATTAAGCAAGATATTATCATTATGTCAAAAATGGAACAATATACTGTTAAGTAAGTTTACTAGATCGATCTCTAGGGGGTGCAATGTGGAGAGTTGTTGGCATGAGCATTGGTGTACTGTCTGGTAAATCCAGTAGAGCTTAGTATGATTCATTTCTGCCATGATCTGCTGATACATTGCAGTGGCTGTTGTGTCAAAGGGAGCTTTGGAAGGGTTTCCTGCTTCCGTTGCATTCTGGGTAATTTCGTGTTGATGTGCCGGGGCAGAGTCGGGAAGCCCCGTTGGAGGAGATTGACGTCAGCTGCAGTATTATCTGTGGATCATCCTCTGACGGTAACAAAGTAAACCTGGGCTATTTTAAACCCCATGCCAGACCTGTGCACAGGAGAATCAGCTTTCTTATGCATTCACATGAAGACTGAGCAGCTTTATCTGGGATGAGTGCAGGAGTCCCGCGTGTTTCCCTGACACGGCAACGGGTATTAATGGTTTTGGTAGAAAGAATTTTTAATACTTTGCTAGGCTCACAATCGGAAGAGTATATTTTTGCATTTTAAAGTTAGGCCAGTTAGACATGGGTTTCATCCTCCCCCATCCGATTAGGGCATCCAGTTAGGTGATGGGGGTCTAGAGTCTATTTCTGAAGCTACAGGGGCGAACGTAGGGAACAAGCCTGTATGGGGCATCAACCCATCGCAGGGCACAATCATGCATGCAAACACACACATGTTAAACAGTCATATCTTTGCAGGGACTCTATGGGCATAACCCTAATCCTGACTATGATAAACCTATCCCTTATCCAGTCCTAACCTTTACCATGAATAACCAAACAATATACAGGATTTTTCCACATTTTTAGTTTTTTGATTGCTTTCACAGATTTTTATAAAATAGATTTTCCTTTGTGGGAACTGGACAAGGATCCTCACAATTGCATAAAGGAACAGGTTTTTATTACATTGTGGTCCCCACACTGTGATAATCAACCTGATCACACCCACTCTAATTCACCTTAGCCTGGTTTTAGCCTGTGGGGGTGCCCAGGGGTGTGGGAGAGGCAGGGATACCATGACAGATTCAGGGGGCCCAGCACTTTGTAGGGGCCGCAAAATCCTCCCCACTCGGCAAAATCAACTGAGCGACTGAACGTTCCAACCCAAGCCGGGGGCCCATGGTAACATTTTCTCAGGGTGCCTGAGATATCTAGCTACTGCCCTGACTGTGCTACCCCTCAGCTAATACTTATATTAGCTAGTTAATTAACATTCAAATCACGTACAATACGCCCACTTGACTGGCCTCTTTTCCATCCCACCAGGCCAGGAGCGAATCGGCACCGACTCGTTTTACCAGCAGGATGGGAAGGTGCAGTCCGTGATCGACGCGGTGAACGCCATGGCCCACGCCCTGCACAACATGCAGAAGGACCTCTGCCCTGACCTCTCTGGCGTGTGTCCTGAGATGGAGCAAGCTGGGGGCAAGAAGCTGCTCAAGTACATCCGCAATGTCCGCTTCAATGGTGAGAGCATGTGTTAATGTACATCAATCCAAGTCGGAGCCATTTTGTGGGGCAGGATGTAGCGCAGGAGGTCATGGAGCTGGGCTCAGGTTTGGAAGGGCTCGAGTTCAGCTCTCATGGCTGGTTGAGTAATCATACTACCACTGAGCCCCTGAGTAAGGTCCTTAACCCCAATTGCTCCAGGGAGGCTGGCTGACCCTGCTCAATGATCCTCGTTTGTTTTGTTGCTTTTGAATCAAGCATTCACTAATTAAATGTTAACATATAATGTCGAGTGGAGACCATCTGGAATTCTTTTTTGTAGGTTGGAGGTTAAACTTGGAGGTTAATGTCGACTAGTGGCACGTGAAGCTGGCTGACCTTCGCTTACCCTACCCAAAATGACCTACTTATTTGTAACGTGGATCTGTTGTTCCATAAAACATTAACTGGAGTCCGGGTTTTGGCGATGCTCCGAAAAAAAGGTGATTATGGGAACCAGCATTAATCAATCCAAATGCAACCTAGGTCCACGACAACAGGGAAAGAATTTCCTCGCCTCAGTGTGAGAAGTCCCCACGCTTGGGAAAGTGATGACAGGTGCTTACACAGCCCGAGGATGAGTGGCATCTTGGGCCTGGGCAGGGAATTCTGCACACCAGAAGGCAGTTTCCCTACATTAATGCTCCAGTGGGATGGGAGACTTGGCGTAATGACTTTGTGAAATACCTGCAGCGGAAGAAAGGTGTCGGTTGCAGATCACCAGTATCCATTCTTGTACTCTCTCCGCTCTCTGGGCATCGGAAACCTTTCCGGAGGCCTGACGTGCTCCCTGTGGGCTCGGCGCTGCCATGAACCCTGCATCACAACGCTGCCTTTCTCACTGTGGTATTCCACTGTTTTTCAGCGTATTTAATAAATTGCTACTATTTCTCACAATAGCCCATCGACATGTTTGGGAGTATTGGTACCTCAGTAAAAGGATGAGGAGTATGAAGCTGTCATTTTCTCTTTTTGCCTTGCCAAGTCAAGAAAATTATAGACTTTAGATTTACAGTTAGTTTCAGGGAATGCAGGGGCAGTGTGAACTTTTATTACTAGGCACATATGAAAAACTAGGTTTTGACTATTCTGCCAAATGTAATGCAAAAACAACTATGGAAAACTGCGAGCTACCATGTGTTAAAAATACATTTATGTTCATTAAACTATATTGATATGTGGTCAGAATGTACTCAGTTTGTTCATTTAGAGTGGGCTATTTGCAGTGTAATGCATGGCCTACAGAGACTTGTTTGGGGTCTTTTGCATCAGACGTTAGGTGTTCGCTTCTGTTTGCATCGGAGATTCCTGTTTGGTAATATGAGGTCATCGTTGTGTCACGTTTGAGTAGTCGGCACAGAGCAGTGCTCTCACCATGAAGATCAAGCCATTCATCATGGGATTTCAAGAAGCTGTGGCCTTTGCAGCCTTGCGATTGTTTCCAAAGAGGGCCGGCGTTTTGTGGCCTGCCCTACACAAGCAGCACACTCACTGCCACGTTTGTTTGGATTCCACTATGAGTGACATCACTGTAGACCTTGCAGAAACCCAGGAGGCTGAGTACAGACCCATTACAGTACATAGCAAACACCTACCATTCATATGAGATTTTTTGTTGGATGGCTGCATACCTTAATTCTTTGAATATCAATAATAAAGGGTAGTGTGCAAAGAAGCAGCAGACCCTCAACACATGACTGGTTGAGAATATTAATTCTATAAATAACGGTACCAAAGTGCCATGCTGTGCAGCACTAGGGACTGTATGTCTTCACTTTCTGTCTTCTAAAGAACCCTGTCTTTAGCTGCGCTCATGAATAACAAGGAGAAGAAAGCCTGCAAAACATTTTGATTATGATCATCATCGCGATTATGACTTTGGCAGTGGTGGATTTTTTCCCCCTATTTGTATCGATAAGCGAGTGTAATCTGCACTAAACAAATAACAGCATTATTGCTAATGAATATTCATTTAGGCGTCACCTGAACTCTCAAGACTCATCAATTCTCGACCGTAACTCCTACGGCGGCACTGAGACATCCTTTATCAACCAGCAAATGGGTTTCGCCTGAACTTCTCTAACTCCTGAAGTGGCTTGTGACCTCCTTCCTGGGTTGATCAGTCATAATGGATCTTTGGCTGCCAGAAATCCACTGTGTCCTTCGATCAGGAAGGAAATTAAAGAGAAGAAACCGGTTTTGTGTCCCCCTCTTACATAACTGCATCGTTACATGGTTGCTATACCCCAGGGCAGAACCTCATAGAATATCCTTTGTAAACAACAAGACTTCTCTCAACAGCTGTCAGCCCATCTACTGTATATCGCCTCCCTTGAACTTACTTCATATTTTAGAGTGGAATGTATTGGAGCCATATTGAATTTTTTGTTTTCTATTTATATTTGAAATATTATTTCACATATTATTACCAAATTATATGTAGAACTTACCTGTCAAGTTACTTGAACCCATCCCAATACCTCATGATGAGTACTGTTCATTGCACCTGTAGGGTCATGGGTAACAGGAAGTAGGAAGTATAGCCTGTGGCAAGTTGGTGGAGCAAATAGTTTTTGACCGTTTCAGATTTGATGCCATACCTTAATACATGGTATGAGATGAGAAACCAGAATTGTTTTTTGTTGCAAAGCATGGTGATGATCTAATAAATGGAACATCTGACAAAAGAACACTGTGCAAGGCCTGCTGGCATAGAATGGTTTTAGATTACAGTATGGTACAGATATTTACATCTTTTACAGTAGGAAACATACAAGTGAAGTGTGCCATTGAATTCCAAATTCTTAAATCATTATACTATGGTGTTTGATTACAGATAGGACTATTTGGACTCAACAACCTGAAGTACTAACATATACTGGTGACAGAATGCTGTTATACACTGTGTTGAAATCCTGCCGTGACACTCCTCGATTTGTGTCCCTGCATCTCTCACGCAGGCAGCACAGGCTCTCCCGTGACGTTCAACAAGAACGGCGATGCCCCGGGACGCTACGACCTGTTCCAGTACCAGGCGGGCAGCAACATCTCCGGAGGTTACCGGCTCGTCGGCCAATGGATGGACTCGCTGCAGCTCAGCGTAGGTCCACCTTTCAGTGCAGAGGGAAAGAGACGCACACCCTGGGCTGTATCACACTCAGGTGTCACAATGGTAACATTTCAAATGATGGTTTATTTGCCCAAGTGCAGGTACATTGGAATGCTCCTTTTTGCATGTCCCATCTTCTGTATACACATTAGAAGTGTGGGATCCCAGTTTAGGGTCAGCCATTTATCTAGCCCCATTGGAGAATTTCTTGGAGGGGAGGGTTTTAGGGCCTTGCTGATGGGCCCAATGGAGACACGACTGTTTTAAGGACAGGATCTGACCCAGCGACCTTCCAATCACAAGTACAAAGGCCTAACCTGAGCCACAAGCCACCCCTGAGCCTAAGCTACCAGCAACATAACTAGCAGAATTGACTAAGGAGAAGCAGGGCAGTTAATTCTCAGCTTCTTTGGGCAACTCTTTGATGACGAGCTCTATGACCGGAGAGCCATCTGTCTGCCGGTCCGGCTCTGAGGGCTAGTTAGGACGCTTTGAGAACCAGAGCTAATGAGTACTCAGTGGAGAAACATGTAGAGCTTCAGCAGGTTGTGTAGACAAGCTCGGTGGGTCATTAAGGTCATCGCGCATTCGTCTATGATGCCTCCACTATACAGATCTATACAAATACAAAAGCGAAACACATTGTCATTCAGTCATTCACTTGCTCAGAAAGTTTGAGTATATTCAAGCAGGTACTAGACTCATTTGGGCTGCCATTCTATGACTAATGTGTGAAAAAATGAGCTACGTGTTAATTACCTTTTCCCATATGATTGCTCATCTTTTCTGCTAATACATATTGCTATACATTATACATTTATGCATAATTAAGGCCTCTGTGCTCCCTGTGTTGGCTTGACCTTATTCTGTATTGATGGCCAATCTGGGGTACATAAACCATTCTGTCCGCACAAATATTTCAGTTTTCCGTAGAGAACTGTTTAATAATAAATGTATACCATCAGAACATGCATATTATGTGGTAAAGTGCCTCACAGTCATTAATCAACACTGAAATTAGTTAGAATTTAAATATGCCAATATACACCAATTTACTGTTAGCTACTAATAAGCATTTATTAATATATATTATATATATATATATCTTAATGAGCATGACCAGCTATGTATCACAATGTCCTTATTCTTCTGAGACATGTCTTACATATGCCTTCACATACATCTCTATTTTCTGTGTTAACATGTGCACTTCAACTATCTCATAAATCCATTTTCTACATGTTGTGAGACCTATATCGCTAAATTCTTTTGGTTATGGATAAACACAGTCTTTGCTTCTGGGATTTAGGTCTGTGTTGAACCAGAATATTTGTCTATGGCGAATATTTTAAGGCCTTCCATCTGAAACATGGCACCTATACCTAATTATGTGGATTTTTTTGTAGGAGATGTTCTTTGGAAAAATCCTTCGAAACCCAGGTCTGGATTTAACATTGAGCTACTGGTTTCTATGAAGCGTTCCTTGGCAAGGCGGTAAATCTGTAAATCCGACAAAGGAACATATAAATATCTGCACATGGCATTTCTCTGGTGATAGATGTATGTACAGACATACTATGCACAGGTTCTACAGTTGGGTATCCTAGCAACCAAGCAGAGAGCGATGAAACTGAATCCCAAAATCAATGTGACAGGATAACAGTCCACACTGCGTTGCCTAAAATGTTCATGTCATTTCTTTTAAGCAGAATTTGTAAAAGTAATTTAATCGTGAAACATTTTCTCTAAATTTTTAAAAGAGAGCAAAAGAATTATGGCATATTGGCCAGGTGTCTGATTTTTAAATGGCTGATAAGGAGCACAGAAAAGCTCACTTCTGCCCTCTAACTGCTTTCTGTAGACTTGCATGGCATACGATGCCCTTTAAACATTGCAAGTAAATTCAGAGATTACCTGAAAGCTTTCAACAACAAGCGTGACATATGGCAATACAGATAAATCCATGCAAAGCTCTCAGTCCACTCTGAAGATCTTCTGTGTCAGCACCAAAGTTGTTCCGATGTTCTGTTCCCACTGCAGTTCCCATAATCACCCAGCCGCCCCACCCCAATCAGCTTTCCTTGTATAGTCGCGCCCCCTTGGTCACATGCCTTCTTCTGTGTGGCCAGAGATGATGCATGTGCTGAAAGTTACAGCCTCATTATCATAAAAGAATATGTCAAAGGCTTCAATATTGAGACATATCTGCCAAAAAAGGATGCAAGATTTATTTATTTTTTAGAAAGGATAAGAAAATTCTGTTTCTCTACATGTAAACAAATACTTTTGTGGGGAAACATATGCTTCATATGTTAAAGACAATCTTTAAAACAATGATAGTAGTCTCTGAATGTGAAGTCCCTATCTCCAGTTCCGTGGACTTTCTTCAGGGTCACCCACACCCTGCCGATGACCTTATTGGAATATTGACTCTTAAGCGGGGTCCTGTGTGGAGGGCTGACTCTAAATCGTGCAGGACAACACTCTCAGGGCACCTTGGTGCATGCCGGCCTTTTGGGGTCGTCTAGTTAGGCCACGAGTTGGGGCTGATCAGCAGCAAGATGAAGACAAAATATCAGGAGACATTACTCTGTTTTTCACCTTTGCAGGGCCCGGAGCCCAAATACACCACACAGAATTCATGGCTGGTTTGTAACTTGCTGGACCCTGATCCAGAGCATTGAGTTCCAGCTGACAAGTTTATCTTGTTCAGGATTCATGACTGATCATTGTTAAGTATCTGGGGAAGACAGTAGCAGCTGTGTTCTGGATATTTCTGTATAATGTTTAATTTTTCTTTTTTATCGTTCACCAGACTGTAGTCATTTCATCTACTGTACCTTTGTCGATTCCAATGCACAACACATCCTTTAATGTTATTTTGCCTTGTTCTTTTTAGTAACTGCATTTATAAATTACAAAAACATTGGTAAATATTTTGTAAAGACATTTACCAAATTTTCCTAATATTGTTGTTATTCGTATAGTGAAACAAAACAAAGATCAATTTAGAAAATTAATTCTCACTAACATCTAGTGATCTTCATGAAGACATTTACATGCTTGTCAAGCTTGCTGCAGCGAAAACACAGAAAAACAGTCATCAAAAAAGGGTCTCTTTATACAAAGTCATTTTAACCATTACCAATAAGTCATATTTTGTCGATGTCAACTGCTGGGTGGCTGGGGAGAAGGCATAGGAGTGAAGCTTGACTAATAACGAAAATCTGACAATTCACGTCATCATTTTGTCCTTGTTTAGTTTGGGCTGCATTGCAACTTGTGAGATCGCAGGTTGGGCTAAAAGACTTAAACACCTTTATGTTTCGATTCACTGGGTCTTCCTGATTTGCAGATGGATGACCTTCAGTGGCCCAGCGGAGAGTCTGAGGTCCCACTCAGCGTGTGCAGCCTGCCCTGCAGGATGGGCGAGCGGAAGAAGGTGGTGAAAGGCGTTCCCTGCTGCTGGCACTGCGAGCCCTGTGACGGGTACCAGTACCAGCACGACGAAATCTCCTGCAAGCTCTGTTCCTACAACATGCGGCCCAACCCCAACAGAACCGGCTGTGAGCCCATTCCAATCATCAAACTGGAATGGCATTCCCCTTGGGCGGTCATTCCCGTCTTCCTGGCCATACTGGGTATCACAGCTACTATATTCGTCATGGCCACCTTTATCCGGTACAATGACACCCCCATAGTGCGAGCCTCAGGTCGGGAGCTGAGCTACGTGCTGTTGACGGGGATCTTCCTCTGTTACATCATCACCTTCCTCATGATCGCCATGCCCGACGTGGCCGTCTGTTCCTTCCGCCGCATTTTCCTTGGCCTAGGAATGTGCATAAGCTACGCGGCGCTGCTCACCAAGACCAACCGCATCTACCGCATCTTCGAACAGGGCAAGAAGTCCGTGGCTGCCCCCCGGCTGATCAGTCCCACCTCCCAGCTGGCCATCACATCTAGTCTCATATCTGTCCAGCTCATGGGGGTCCTCATTTGGTTCGGGGTTGACCCCCCCAACATTATCATTGACTACGATGAACAGAAGACCATGAATCCCAGTCAAGCCAGGGGGGTGTTAAAGTGTGATATCACAGACCTGCAAATAATCTGCTCTCTTGGATACAGCATTTTGCTGATGGTGACGTGTACGGTGTACGCTATCAAAACACGAGGGGTTCCAGAGGACTTCAACGAAGCCAAGCCCATTGGCTTCACCATGTACACCACCTGCATCGTCTGGCTTGCCTTCATCCCCATATTTTTTGGCACGGCCCAGTCGGCAGAGAAGGTGAGAATCTTCATATTCCTTAATCCGTTATTTGCTTATTTGAGACACCCTGCAAATATATACACCAGAAGTCCACTGTAACTGAATTTGGCTTATTGTAACAGTGACATTATAACAAGGCTGTGCTTTTCACAGTATTGAAAATATATTTATTTAAAAGACAGTACAGCATAAAATATACTTTGTGGTGAATTCTTACCCCACATGCTTGTATAAATAGTCCTACTGGAAACTGATTAATATTAATATTCCACCTACGCTGTGGAACTGAAAAAAAGATGATCTTTTTACTTTAGATATTCGCTTATTGGCCAAACTAAAAAAGCGATGAGGATGGCTTGTTAGGGCAAATCACATATACTGTAAGATTTTACCTTTTTACCCTGACTTAGAGAGTGTTTGTCAGGTATCTGGAATTTGCACTGACCCCGGTCATAACAGAAATGCAAATAGCTCTCTGGTGGGTCGTATACAAAATGTTGCCTCGTGAGAAGGTGCTGATCAGCAGTCAGAGCTAAGAAAGAGCATCAGCTTAAGCACGACTTGCCGGTCGGCGGCACGAAGGGCTTCCCTTGCACCCTTGTGTTCATGAATCCAAACTTGGCTCAACGGTTGCTGGAAATTCAGGGAGAGAATGGGAAAGCAGGCAAACAAATCTCTATTTCACTGTCAGGTAGCCAAAAAAGCTGGGGAGACTGCCTCCCAGAAGCTATTTTAGCTGTTCTCCATGGAAGCGCTGCACAGTGCCGACAAACAGATGCTAACATTTGCTAACAGTGACTGCAGGCTGTGCAATCCCATATAACAGCTCCAAAGTGATGGGCGTGAGGCCCTTAGGGGCATGTTTTGGCAAGATGGTAACATCAGTTTTTATTGTAGCCTGTTTGGCCCTGTAAACTAAGAAGCCCTATCTCCAGTTTGCTTATAAATCCTGTGAAATGCTAGAAGGATTGGGAATGGCCAATAATTTGAACTGTGGAAAATAATCCGGTCAGTCATAAAATGCTAGGATAATCATTACATTGTTAGATTAAATTTTTTTTACTGTGGTCTAACCTGAAAAAACCCTTTAACAGGAAGGCTGCTGAAAAATCCCACAAATTTCTCAGCTGTGCAATATTGGTGTAAAATTACAGTCGATCCCCATTTCAAATACCGATGGAACCAAATGCAATGTTCCAAATGCGAAACACAGAAATGCAAATTCATGCGGTCCGCTGATCGCTAAAGGCTAAAATTGTGGCATGAAATGTAACATCTAAGGAGGGACTCTGTCTTTCCCTACAGAATGGTACTTAGGCAATAAGAGGCCTGAAGGGAGGTCTTAGAAGGAAGCCACCGTGCCCTTCAAAGGGCGCTATGAACAACTCTGACCTTTACAGTGACAGAATTAGACAGAGTCTCCAGCGAGTGAATTCTCTGATCTGGGAGCCAGGAAGGAGGCTGTCCGAAATCAAGCCTGCAAGAGGTTGAACAGCAAGCCAAAATTTACATAGCAAACATAAGGCTAAACAAACACCAGGAAAGTAATGACTGCACACAAAGACTTGGCATAAATAAATTAAAAACATAAGAAACAGCTTCTTTTCTTGCAGACGAAATTAGCTTTTATTGAAATATCTTGGTGGCACGGTAATTGTCACTGAGAGAAGGAGATCAAAGACTGAGAAAATGGCTTTTTTGCCCAAACTCAAAGTGAGCACATAATGAATTTAAAGCAGTGTGGTCTTTTCCTGGGCAAAAAGGGAGGCACTTTATTGCTCCTTTTGCAGTAAAAAAACACAAGGCAGTTCTCCTTTAAAGACGCTCGTCTGTGTTACTGCCCCACAAGGACAGACTTTGATCGCAAGCAGTAGAATCTACAAAGAAATCAGCGTCGTCCCATGTCTTCGGCGAGCTTGTTTGTTTGAGATAATTTCACAAATAGAAAATATGACCCAGTAAAGGCAGTTTTATATAGACAGAAAGGCAGTTTTATGAAGGCAGTTGCTCCTATGCATTGTGTCTGATTGGCTTGAGTGTGGCCCTTCGTTCTTCACAGGAAAGTGAAATCCATCTGCCAATTTTGGGAATTCTCTTTAAAATCCGTTTCATTTTCCACTTGACGATCTCTGCTTATACAGTACGTGGTGCTGTCCGGTGTAATGTGATATTTCATGACCTGTTTTTTTGGAACCAATGTAACAGCCAGGAGTAGATCCATGTTAGACAGATAACGACTGAGACACAGTGTATTTCCAAAACCCATCCATCGTCCACCCTCTTATCCTGGAAGGGTCCCAGGGGAGTCTAGAGCCTGGAGTCTGTCCCAGGCAGCAACCACACAAGGCTTGGCTACCATCTTGGCTGGGGTGTCAGTCCATTACAGGGCACATACATGCACTGCTGGCAATTCCAAGATGCCAGGTAACTTAAACACATGCTTTTGGACTGTGAAGGGGAACAGGATTACTATGGAAAACCCACAATCTCCACACCCACGGGGCGAAAGGGGGATCCAAACCGTTAATCCTGCAGGCGTGAGACAACAGTGTTTCTACTGGAACCGCTGTGCTGCCACCGATTTCTACGCAATTTTATGTATATAATGAAACGTATATAATTAAACAAAAAATCGAATATACAGTGCGGGGTAGCAGGCTGAGCTGGAGGAGAGATCCGTGTCGCTTACCGGAGACCGGAAATTATTTAGGGTCTCTCCCTCTTTCCAAAACACTTGACACAAGCTAGTAAAACGATGGCATTTTTAGCAGAGAAGGAAGAACTACCCAGGGATACAGATGGAATACATACTGAAATATAGTCACGGACAAGAAGAACAAAAGTGGAACAAAAGTAACGCAAATCCGTAAAGTGAACCTGACGGCAGAGCAACCCACGTTCTGCTCTAACTTCCTTGGAGAAACACAGCGTTGTCTTCTTTTCCGTTAGGACCTCCTCTGCGGAGGGACTCTGCACTGCCCCCTGAATGGTACAGTATGTCTTATTCCATACTGCGGGCTTGAGCAAAGTAAAGTCCTAAAAGAAACTGTTTCACTCACTCTGCCATAGAAGTGGATTGGAAGAACATGTCTATCATGAAATGACCATCCCGGGGTTAAAAATATGTGATTTGTGAGTAAGTAATCGCATAAAAAGAATTGTGTATGTTTTATAATTGAAAAATGAATCCTTTCAGATTGAAATTCAACGTTTTATGGGTTAGAGAAGTGGGTACAGGGAGGAGCCTTATGTGGCTCCGTGAATAATAAGGCTTAGCATCATAGATCACAGAATATCTTTAGATGGGGATATTAGGAAATGTTGCTACTTCAGGGAAACACACCTCATTGGCTGTGACTCTCACTGGAAAGACTCAAGCGAACTGCCACAGTTTAAAGAGATAAACCACGTATCCCAGGAAATCACTGGACTGAATGTAATTGGGCAGAAGCTGAATTAAATGCTCAGCAACTGAGTAGTGAATATTGGGTTGGAATGGAGGGCTTCTCCTGAAGCCAGAGGAGAAATGCCCGTGGATGTTTCCAGTCAATAAATAGGAATGGGGCCTAAAAATTTTATGCCATCAGCTCTCTGAGGTGTTCCAGTGTTACTGTCATTTTCTTCTGACCTTCTCGGTGAACCCTGCTGCTTGATGGCTACATCCATTTCAGCCCGTAACTGTCATCACATTAACGACTCTGAAAAATGCAAATATATGTTGATGAAATGTCGTGCTTTAAAGGGGGGTTATCACAATGTTTACTGTATAAACGTCTGCATCTCAAGTTTAAATATCTGAACTGGCAAACGTAAGATGGTGGCATAAACAGCAATCATGCAGAATACTCCAGAACAGTATTATGATAGCATTTCAATGCAAAAACAACAATAACTCTACAGCAGGAAATGACTGGAAAATTTAAGTGAAAGATTCTCTGTATAGCTCGAACAAATATTACCGCAATTACCAGAGGAAATATAACAAGACGTACTAAATGGCTACATTTCAGCATTTAGATTATAACAAATAATGACATATAATTGACCCATCTTAGTTTGTATTTGGAATGGCACAATGGAGTTTTATTCGAAATTCCAAGACAATGCAACCAAATGCAATAGAGGATCAACCTCCTTTAGAATTAAAGTAAGTTGGCTCCAAAGGAAATGGACATACTGTAGACAGATTGTTCAAGTCAGAGGGCAGCAACCTCTTCTGTTCAGAGATGGAATGTTTATGTCTGAGCACAACGATGGAATGCTATCAAATGACCACCATCCATCCATTTTCTGTAACCACTTATCCTATTCAGGGTCGTGGTGGGTCTGGAGTCACTGGGAGCAAGGCAGGGAACAACACGGGATGGGGTGCCAACCCATCTTAGGGCACACACACGTTTTGGGGGGAAACCGGAGTACCCAGAAGAAACCCCACAATGACACAAGGAGAACGTGCAAACTCAACATACATGGAGCCACGGCAGAAACTCGAACTCTGGTTCCAGAAGTGTAACGCAACAGTGCTAACCACTGCACCACCGTGCCGCCCCTAAATGACCACCATAAAGGCTCAAATGCTGTTTAGAGCATGTTGCATAATACATAATATAGGTACAGTTTAGCGGTAGGGCCAAACAGCCCAAATACAAAATAAGTAAAGTGGACTGGCCTAATTGTCTGTAGATTTGAATAGTGTGTGTTCTCCCTGTGACTGATTGGTACCTCATCCTGGGCTGTTCCCTGCTTTGTACCTGGGATATGTTCTGGACCCCCGCAGCTCTGCATCGGACTAGCGGGTTTTGAAATGACTGATATATTTTTTATAGGAAAAAAAGCTTTTAAATATGATGTCCCAAATCTGCTTCCGTGTTCCATAGCCTGACAGCTTACTGATAATCACAGCTTTGGGCCTACATATATTCTCTTACATTCTGTTGAGAGGCCTGGGCATTAAATATTAACTTCGTTATCTCTCCGTTATTGAGACGTTCACTCACCAGTAGAGTTAGGAGACAGCT